TCCTGAGAGAGAAAAGAGGCTGGGCTCATCAAAAAAAAATTAATGGCGGTTTCTCACCTTCCTTTATAAAATAATGCTCTCTTTATATGACGCAAAAAAAAAAAAAAAAAAAAAAAAAGGCGTACTTACTGAACATCTGTAACCTATCTGTACCCTACGTAAAACTTTTTTATTTTACCTTTTATGCGGAATTCTTTTTTTAGCTTAGGCCTATTCAATCGTTTGAAATAAACTTATATTGTAAATTGCTCTGTTGTTAATTTTGAATGCTCATTTTTGCCATATTTGATATTACTGACGCGTCTTGAAATATATCGGTTTCAGGATGCGGTTTACATGACGACCAGGACATAGCACAAGACGACCCGTCACAGAAGTTATGAGTAACCCAGCGGTATGGATTTAAATACGTCAGGAAAGTTTTTAAAGTAAATTAGCTCTCAATGACAGACAAAAGCGATATCACAAAATGATGAAATGATTTGACAGCAGCTATTTGTGTAACCTTTACAGAAAAGTGAGACTTTTTGTTTGTGAGTAAAGCAAGAATAACATGCGACATTTTTGCAGTGTTAAGTAAATTACCTGTAAAGGCGGCGGAAGAAGAAAAAGAAAGTGATTCACTCTAACCGAAAGAAATTCAAATTCTGATCTTGGAAATGCGTTTAAATACACCTAGTTGAAGAGATAGAGACGGGAGTGACATTTGCTATCAAAAAGAATCTCAGTAAAATACGCTATATTGGTCAGTGTACGTAGTCGAAAACTGTTTAATAAAAAGAATAGAAAACGGTTTTGGTTAGTAATTTTTAACTGATAAACAAATAAAAACAGAAAATAAATACGTTCAGTATTTTTAATTTGTTTATTTAATTTTTATTTTATCTCTATTTTCATTTTTATTTTTCATTTTAATTTATTCTTTATTACTAATATAAGTATGATTTTTAAGAGAAATCTTGAAACAAAGTCGCTGCTTCTCCATAGCGTCTCAATATAAACTGCATACGGTCTTCCCGTCCCCGCCACCGTTCATGAATATTCATTATTCGAAGAAAGGAAGAGCCCTTATTGTTTCCTAGCACTGTACCGGAGCACAGTATTTAAATGCATCGGGGCTTGATTTATGTCAACAAAGGTTACGTCAACTGATATGTTTATTTGTTAAATCCATGGTAAACAGACTAGATTTGAGGACGGCATCTTCCAGGATGTGCACCGGCCGTAAGTCGGGTCAACATGAAGGAAGTGAGGAAATATCTATCCCCACTTCTCCCGAGTAGAATCCATTTATTTATTTACGTATTTCACTTTATTTATTCATTTCTTTTCTTTTCTTTCTTTCTTTCCTTCTTTATTAATTAATTTATTTTCTGAGAGGGGGTATTTTGCGGTGCAAATCAAATAAAATGAAATTACAAATACATAGAGGAAGATAAGTAGACAAATAAGTGTAACTATAACGCGAATTGAAATAAAAAGATAAAACAAGTCAGCACGCGTATATGGTGTGAAATATACAGGTATGAGGCTCTTGTCGATAGAAGTCCCGTTATAATTACGGCCCGGGAAATTAAGCTATCGGGACGTCTTGTTTGGTCGGGATTAGGAGTTAGCAAACTCCATAAGAATACAACAACTACAAATATCCTCTAAATACAGTATACAAGAGGAAGCACATACGTATATGTATCGAAATTGATTTCTGAATTTGGTAATGTTGAAGCCAATTAAGATGCTTGTACCACACCTTTAGCACAATTAAACTGAGGATGATTTTAATCTTAACCAGGAAGCCACAACTGAAGTGTCTAAATCCTTTTACAACAGAAAAGATCTTTTAAAACACTGATTGCAGTTTTTTGTAATATACAATGTAGGCCTACGTTTAGAGATTCAGGCAATGTGATGATACACATTAATCATCTGACCAACTTCTAACATTATTCGATCTAAAATAAATAAGCTTTGAAAATGCAATTTGAACATGAAAACACCACTATTATGAATATTCAAACGAATACATGTACGCAAAACAGACGTGTTTGAATGCACCGCAAGTAAAATGTTTGGTTTTTGTCTCGTTTTACTTGCTATAATTTTCATTGGGTGAGGAGTAACTGAAAAGTTTTTCTTCAAATCTACGGTGGTGGGTGGGGCACTGCATGTACGCTATTTTATTGGCTTCGGCCCAAGTCCGTCTCTTTTCTTAGCAAGAAGCACTGTAATTAAATCAACACCTTGTTTTGAAAGCGCACCTGACTCACGCGGACATAATAAAAAGACGAGTTCCGTCCACGGTAAAGCGAAGGGTTCGGCCTGCGGTCGCCTAGCGCTATATAACGTTCAAGTCACACATCCTAGTTATACTGCCGTCTTCAGAGTGCCTTCTTGATTCGAAATGGCCGCCATGGGACATACTGCTGTGATTTGCCTGTGTTTGGTTCTGATGTTTAACCTTGCCTGTTCTCAAGGTACTTATAAGTAGATAACATAATATTCGCCATTTACAGTCACATATCTATTTGTTATCAGGGTACGATTTGCTTTTGTTTATGTAATATTATTTGTCGCTAAAATGAATTTGTCTCTAAAAGCGTGTTGGACACGAGAGAATTTGCCGGGGGAAATACATACCTTGTCTTTGATGGTTGTTGGCAATTAGACAAAACTTAATATAACAAAGTGTTTAAACTTACGATTTCGTCTTCTTGGAGACGTTGAGTCTGACTCGCATAGACCTCGGTCGCTGTGACAAGTATAGCTCTTATCCCGTGACTTACAGGTAACATTTGTCCAATGTACTGACCTCGATACTCTCAGTAAACTCTAACGTGTACTAATCATAGGGACCCGGGCCAATGTTCCTGGGACTACTATTCCTGTCACAGTAGACCAGTTACAGCCGATAAAACTTCATTTATGATAAATACTACTGGACGACTCACTCATTTGCACTGTGCTTGGTAGTTTTCTGTCTTCAAACTAACGTATGACAGAGAGAGAGAGAGAGAGGGGGGGAGAGAGGTGAGGGAGGGAGAGAGAGACGCTGGAGAGAGAGAGAGTTGAGGGAGAGAGAGAAAAAGAGAGGGTGAGAAAGAGGTAAGGAAGAGGAGAGGTAGAGAGATAGAGATAGAGGTGTGTGTGTGTGTGTGTGTGTGTGTGTGAGAGAGAGAGAGAGAGAGAGAGAGAGAGAGAGAGATGGATAAATTACTAAATTCACAATTCTCTTTCACACCAGATATCGGAGGCATGTGCTGTGTAATGGGAATGCGAAATCGGGGGCAAAACTGTGAAGGAAGAGCCCGGACCCTGAGCGAGCCTTGTAGAACCGGATTCCTGAATTGTTGCAAGGTAGGCAACAATCAGCTGACACACGCGGACGCTCAGTGAGGTGAGTCTCGAAATGCGGGGAGTCGTTTGTTAAAAAAATAATTCGTTAAAAAAATATTGCAGAGATTTGCCGCTCCTTAACGAACCAACTAAGCAATTTTTTCTGGCATTATTCCCTACCTAGCTTAGTGCTGCCCTCTACTGGATATTTTTGCTTGCTGTTACAAAATGATATAAAAGACTGGTATACTATTTTGTAACAGCTAGATAATATATATATATATATATATATATATATATATATATGAAGATATGTTTAGAAGATATCAAACAGTGCGTGTTTCTTGTTTACTGAAATGTTTGATTTTCCTCATTTGTCCATAATACTTTTGCAGAAAGACGTTTCCGTGATGATCTGGGCAAAAGACAGCTGAGAACAGAGACTGCCATGACACCAGCGATATGGATTTAGAAATGTAACCAAAGAAGAATTAAGGAAAACGTGATTCACAAACACCCCATTTCCATAGATTAGATCGACCTACTTTGGATTGACCTAACTCCCTGGGGGTTCGCGCTGAATAGCTGTCAGCCGGGCGGACACGAAAGTTAATTGCCCCTTACGGCTTGTAGTGGGCGGGGACGGACACTTAAGGGGGATTAGCTGACGGTAGTCTGGTGAGACTCCCCGCGGTGATAGATCGATCTAAAGTTGTGGGAATAGACCCTATAGACGCACATAGAGGTGACTATCAGGACGGGATTATGTGAAACTTAAACAACTCCCATTAGTACGCAGATAAACAGATACCCACGTGACTCATAACATAAATTAATCCATGTAGCACTATTATGGGGCCATTTATTCATTGAAATTTTTCTGTCTATTTAAGGAGAAATAAACAGGACAAAACGCAATAAAAATAGTCTTATTTGTTGATTTTCGTGGTGTTTATTGTATATATGTATATGTACTTCACAAAGTGACCTGTATAAGTCAAGAAGTAAGTCTTATTAAAATTATCATTTGCGAGAATAGAATTTTGCGGTTTGTTTCTTTAGGCTATTCTCGTTATCTATATTGCTACAATCATCTTTAGTTGATATTGTATATGACGCAATTCGCGAAAAGGCCTCAAAATGCTCCTCAACTCAAATCATCCACCTGTGAACCCACAGTCACATTTTAATGTTCTTGGGGTTATTTTGTAGACCAACCATTAATGTTGCTCTTGAAGACATATTGGCCGATGTTAATACATGTATCTAGATTATAAATAACTGCGTTGTTTTTTGCCATTATGCAAGTGTCGGCTACGTGTTTAACTTGCTTGATTCTCCCTATGTTATAATTAAAAAGGGACAATATAACAGCAGAGTCCGGTTTAAAAAAAAGAGTTATTGTTTGAATTTAGTATTATATAAAACCTTAAAAAGTTGTTCTACTTAAGCGCAAAGTGAAAGAGTAAATGAAGAGCGATCCCTACAAAAACGCCAGGAATCCATGGTATTCACATGTTCAAAGGATATCATCTAATGCAAGGAACAAGCGCGTGTTTGCATTACTTACAGGTAATAGTGCACGCGAACTACCAGCTAGTGCGTTGTGTATATGTGTGTATGTATGCGTGCGTGTGTGTAGAGGGTGTGTGCGTGTGTTTATTTGTGTGTAAAAAAAGGATGTATGTGTGTGATTGCTTAAAAGGTTGAAAACTGAAATTTGACACCTCGTCCATCTTTTTTATTTGAAAAAAAGAGACTGTATATTCGCCTCAACCCACTTTACATGGCTCCGCCATCTTTTTGTTTTATTTTATTTTCCGTCCTTTTTTTTTTTTTTTTTTTTTTTTTTTTTTGTTAAGTACAATGTGTTTATGTAGAAGAGCAGAAAATGTAAATAAAAGCCACATGTTTTTGCCCGCCGACGGCAAACTGCCACTAGGTGACGAATAGAAGCATGAGATCATTCTCTACATAAACAAAGCGTAGTTTCGCGTGCGCGTCATACTTAAAATGGGAAGCGTGCGGTAAAAAGAGGAAATAGACGAACTAATGGCCGACCGCAAACCAAAGTAACATGCCTTCCAAGGCACTTTCTACTTTATAAATTGACAGGGGCTAAAATAATATTTGAGTTGGGTTTGTTAGCGCAGACTTGAGGCCACGCTTTGCTAGGAGTAAACAGTGAGTGGAAATAGACTGTGGAAGATTCAAATGCATTTACTTTTTTCTCGTTCTTCCTCGCCCCATTCTCCATCTCTCTCTCTCTCTCTCTCTATTTCTCTCTCTCTCTCTGCATCTCCCTCTCTTCCTCTCCCGTTCTCTCTCTCTCCATCTCTCTCTCCCTCTCACTCGCTCCCCCCGTCTCTCGCTCTCCCTCCCTCCCTCTCTCTCTCTCTCTCTCATCACCCCTTCTTCCTCTTGCTCATATTCTGCCCCTTTCCCTACTCTCTCTTCGACCTCTCCCATCTCTGTCTCAACTCTTCTCCCTTTTTCTCTCTAGCTCTTACTAAGCAAGGTGCAAGCAAAATGACCCATAAAAATGAAAACCTTCATTGTTTTAATTCAACACACCGTTTTTGGTCTTCCGTAATTTTTTCTCTTATCATAAAGGTGGGGTAGGTTATTGATGAAATGCGCCAGGACAAACTCACAGCCATTAACATAGTTTTTGTTTTACTTCCTTGTATCGTACTAATGGAAGTTTATAAGCCAGCCACTTACTCAGCTTGTCTCATTCTGTCAAGGAGCTGGTAGGCAGAAAGAGTCGCTCACCCTAAAACTTTTCACTATAAAAAAATACAGGTAAGAAAGCAGTATCACTGCATGTCATATGTGTGAATTGATTAAATTATGATTTTATGATGGTATGATAAGACAAATATTCCTTTAAGATAGGATGGATTTTGCGAAGTGTTTAATTGAATAGATTTGACCGATTTTACCGACAAGAGGGGGAGGGGGAGGGGGAGGGGGAGGAGAGGGGTAGGGGGATGAGGGACCATTTTTTTTTTACCAGCGTTCAGCCCAGAGTGACCAGCGGTTTATGGTGCCGCACCAGGGAGTGGACGTTTTATTGTGAACCTTCTCTCCTTATAAACAGAGGTGCATCTATAAAGCATTTTGAACCATTTTTAAAAAGAGAATCAGATTTACGTGTGGTAACGTGTTTCACCTCTGCTTTTAAAATGTTGTAAATGCAGTTCAAATAGTTTAGTTTGTCATAGGACAGAGTTTCATATTTGCAATTATAAACGTTTCCAACTTTGCTAAAACTGTAGAATAATTTGCAAATCAAAATGAGAAAATACTCCATACAACTGTCACGTTCTTGCTACATACATGCATGCTTTGCACCTTTGAGGATTCATAAAAAAAAAAAAAAAAAAAAAAAATTAGGTGAATTTTTACTGCTTATTCATTTTGGTAAATCTCTCACAAATCGCAAGTTTTAACATCTCTTAATAATCCGTTTATAGGCTAAGGACCTACTTTAAGTCACGTGCTTGAAAAAGTTGCAAGGCTGAGAACCTCTGTTACGGTGAAAATTGAATTCTTGAAGTTTTGTAAACGGGTAGCCAAAATGACTTTGGAAGTTAGTAGGAGATGTAGGAGATGTGTTCATCAGTGATTCAGACTTTAATGGTAAGAATCACCTACATCTCGTGACAGCGGAGAGTCACACCAAACCGTGACTCTAGAAAAACAATTTGTGCGAGGTGCAGAAAAATGGCGTGCTGCAGTGACTTAAGTAGACCTACATTAAGATTTATAGCAGATAAAATGCATTTGAATAAAAAACACGATTATTCACCAAGTGTGATGTACAAAGATAACTAATAATTTTTCTCTTGCCTTGACGACTTTATGAAAAGCACTGCCGGTGGATTAAAACACTCAAAGCTGTTTGCTGCACATTGCGTAAGAAGGCCAAGCAAATTTATTCAAAACAAGCCATACGGTATACGGCGCAAATATTTTACGGGAGTATTTTCGTGTCTAATCACGTCATAAATTGTACATATCCAATCTTTCTAAGATTCAGTTTTTTGTTATCATGGTCTTAGGCGTTATGACATACAACACAGAAGGCGAGGGTGGTGGCGGCAAGAACAACGGCGGGAAGAGCAGAGGACGTAAATACGTAATAGCAGGCGTGGTTTTACTGTTCCTGGCGACCTTAGCGACATCTGTGGCTTTTTTGGTGGTTTTCCTGTCACGTGAAAGCACCGAAGATGTATTGAAGGTAAATAAAAAAAACGTAACATTGCAAATATAATAGACAAGGAAAATGCACGTACTTTGATTTTTTTTTTGAGAAAATGACTTTCAGAATATATTGAGATGTAGGTAAAATGTAAATGGTCGCGATTTAAGCATTATTGTCACTGAAAAAATACCAATTTTACTTTCAGCTACGATCTGCCCTTTACAATAGGCAGAACGATGTATTTAGTGTGGAAGTGGGATTGGACCGCCAGAGGGCGCTGGAAGCAGTTCATTATATTCCACATGACCAAAAGACGGAAACCTTTGTTGTCTACGATTATAAAGCAGTAGGTGGTGTCTTTCGTAGCAATTCCGAAAATTATCTCTTCTTCTTGTAATTTTAACCAACATTTATATTATAATATACCTTTCTACAATACAACATTAAGAAGATATTTAGGTATGTTTTCAAGGGTACGTGTACATCAGGAAAACAGTAGACATTTCACCCAAAGAATGTTGAATACAGAAACGAGAAAATCCCTTGGTTTTTGTCTCAATTCGTGTGTTATGCGTTTTTTGTATTGAATTAAAATTAAATTTATTAATTTGATTAATAAAAAAAATTGAGGAAGAAGGGATACCTTCTGAAGTAAGCTCAACAAAGCACGTGCTAGCTGTGTATCCCCAGTCCCAGATCCGCAATTGATTCTTTAATTATTTCTTAATTATTTCAAAATCTAGAGAAAAGTCGTCCTCAGACTGATGGACGACATGACCTGCTACATCCGGGACATGCAGCCCTCCATGACAGAAGAGGAAATAGATGGCGTGCAGAAAAGTTATGAAACAGAGAAGGTAAAGGCAGTTTATAGTCGGTAAAACATATATGTTACTTTATATCTAACTTTTTACATGCAATTTTTGTGTTATTATTTTTGTAAGTCATTTTGTTACTTTTTGCATTCCATTCATTCATTCATGAAATTTTATTTATCTATTATCGTAGAATTAATGGAAAGACAAAATCGTTTTTGAGAAAAAAAGAGGGAATCATTGATGCGTGTTTGATGATTTCTAAGAACCCGTTTATATACACCTTTCCAGAACACAGCACTGAGGATTGGCAAAGTGGAAAACCAGTACTACCAGGCGCTGAATGTTCCGGTCGACACATCCGTGCTGAGCGAGGCCATTTTGGAATTTTGCTCTGGTCTCAAATTGCAATACCTACAGCTGATGTCGAAGGATGATAACCCGAGTGAGTGACTTGATATAATGAAATTATTTTAGAAAATTTGAATATTGACACTTTTGGCACCCTTCTCCATCTTTCCACGTCTACAAGCTAGAGTGCGGATTTTTGAAAATTTAAAGATTAAAATATCCAGCCATAAAACGATTTCGTCTCAAACAACTTTGTTTTAACAAAGTTTAAAAGATAGAGGAAAATCATTCGACTTGCTTTACGGCAGACGTCAATTAGCTTGACATTAGCCCTGACACTACTGTAACTCTACTTCTGCTTTTGGTCCACTATTTTAATTTTTTTCTGCCCAATTTCAGCATCAACTCACCACAACAGCAGACGCAAAAGAGGTATCTTTGACGACTTCATGGCTTACGCCAACCAGAGATTTGCAGGCATTCGTGCTGCGCTGGGTGCCTTCCAAAATACCAAACCAAAAGGTTCTGACGTCGGAGTCTTGTCGGTAGATGGGGCTTTACCAGACGTTTTACCAGACAAGACAATTCCAGTAGCCGGTACATTTTCAGGGGAGGATGAAAGCGGTACCTCCGGTGGTTTTGGGCTGTTCGACGCGTTCAGGAGACACGTGAAGAAAACTTTGAAAAATGTACGCGGGCGTATGGCGTCTAGACGGAGACAGAAATCAAACGGTGGTGGGGACGTTGGGGTTCTAGGTGGTACTTTACCACAAGGATCTGGTGGAGCCAAACCAGGAGAAACGGACGTAGGAAGTTTTGGTGGTGTTTTACCCGATGGTCCCGTGTTACTGGGAGGCCATGACGACCCTGTGCCAGGTCTCCCTGACCCGTATGCCCCTGATGGCGGAAAATCCGATGCTGGAGTGCTTAACGTTGACGCACCTGGGGGTACCCCCAAGGAGGGTACAGATGTCAGTGCTTTCGGTGGTGTTTCCCCTGACGCACCTCCCGTAAATCCCCTTCCAAAGGTCCCAAAATCCGACCCATTTCCACGCAAGACACCCGGCTCCTCCAGAAACTCTCCCCGTAGAGTCTCGTGTACCCGGAAGGTGCAGTGCACGTTTCAGGAGCTCGGGTGTACGGTCCGCCGAGAGAGGTTCTGTCCCAACCCGTCCTGGGCTGACGCCTCCGAGTGCGATGACTGGCAGTACACGGACGTGAAAGCGTGCGCTAATGTTAGGAGATGCCAGACCAGTTGTATTTGAACACGTGCGTGGTATTGAAGACAGAAATATGAGGAGATGCAATTCCAATCCACAGCTCAATATTGAGGACACACAAATATCATCATCAAATGGAGGGAGATCAATTCACCTTAAGTACACGTCTGGAAACTCTAGTAAGCAATTAACATGAAGCTAACAAGCGTTTGTAATTACAGAATGTCCACAGATGAGCTTTATTTACTCATAATCTCTCTAGAACTTTCACAAACTGAGAGACAAACAAAACAATAATATATCATAAAAGAAGCATTGATATTTTCTTTACGTGTTACGCATACCCTACATAATTAGAAATCATTAGATCTGTAACTTCACTAAGTGCCTTTAATAAGCCATACCTCGCCATGGTATTGTCGAAATACGATAACAAACATTTAACATTAAACTAAATAAAAGAAAAAAAACATAATAAACCAACATACTTTAACTCGGAATATTTTTCGTCAAGCGATTGCTTCAAATTTCTTGCGTTCAAATTTTCGTGTGTGTGTGTGTGTTTGTGTGTGTGTCAACGTAACTCTCAAATACCCGTTTAAAAGCGACACCAAACCAGAGAAGGGATGTTCTTGTTTGATGTCTTGGCTCATTGGCGGTAACTTAGGCATCGTTTGACTGCAAAATTCTTTTCCAACTGACTCAAGTCAAGTTACATTAAAGTAAATAACTGTTCTGCTTTTCTAACGCTTTGTTCCAAAGGGGTTTCTCATGTCCACGCATATTTTCCCGGTAAAACATGACCCTTTAGCAGTGACAGGGCAGCAGCGATGGCGTTGGTCACAATGGGCGTCCTCCGTGCACACACGGACCATCTTCAAGTCAGTAGGAGCCGGAACCGCCGGACACTCTAAAGCAATGAAACATATTAAAAAGAATTTCCTTTTTTAAACTCTCAATATCAAGGCCTCACATGTTGAGGTGCAGAAAATAGAATAGAGGGTGTTACTAAGAACGCAATAAGAGATCCAAAAGCACAGAAACAGTTAAATGGTTCTATTGAGGTGTAAAGAAAAAACGTCAGGCTAAATGCAGTACTTTATCTATTATGTATTGTTCCTGACGGGCTGTGGGATGACGTAGTAGATGGGCTGTGGGATGACGTAGTAGATGGGCTGTGGGATGTCGCGAGAGATGGGATAAAGGATGACGTAGGAAGGAAATGCCATTTACCTGGTACTTGCTCCGTCCTACTCTCCATACCTCCTTCAACATCGTCATATGTACCCGGGAAGCACACACATCCACTGATTTTGGAACGACAGCACTTCTCATTAACACCACAGTACATGTCTGCCGTACACACGCGTTGTTTGGTGCCGAGGTATACTCTAGGGTCTGGCTCTTCCGGACACTCTGTCAATTATATATTTTTGATGGCATTAAGTTCACGTCAAAATTGTATTTAACCTGAACAGTTAAACTTATTACACATAAAGTAACAGGTATCCGCATTTCCATCTACGTACAGTATATCCAAGTTTTTATATGCTACAAAAATCAGACATTAATATTGGCATAAATTATGACGTTGAAAATAATCACTTAGTTTACATTTACATAACAAAATTGTGAATTTCTTCTCGTGTCTAATTTTATTTTTATCAAAAGACACCACTAAAATACCACTTTATATAAGAAATCAACAGTTTGCTGTTACAAATGTATCAACAATGTTTGATCAGTACTTACTCAATTTAGGAATCGGTCCTGCATAAAAAAAGATAGACAGTTTTGATTTAATGGAATAAAATAAATCACAATAGTACAATTTTAAAGTAACAACGATTGCAAAGAATTGTCAGAAAAATAATGATAAATTCTGACATGAAGCATTCTACAGAAAGTATTGAATAGAGTACATGTTATAATAAAGCGCAATATTGATAAAAGGTCCAATGACGTCGCATTTGGGAGATACTGTCATCATTAAACCTATTCCGAAATTAACCGCCACTTTTATATACAGTATATCGAAGTAAACAACAAGGAGATTGTTAGTGGCGCATCGGTTTAAGGTCGCATTCAGAACAGTGGACTAACTAGTCCGAGGGTCAAATATGGCCGATCCACTTGAATACTTCCCCACAGGGAATCTATTCAGCGTCTGTTAGCGAATTAGACGGCAAACTTTTTAGTGGGTCGCCATATTTGTCCCGCGGACCAGTGAGTCCACTGTTCTGAATGCGGCCTGAGAAACGGGTCGAGAAAACATCAACCCAGTCACGTGATTCTCCAAAATTCAATATCCGTGAATATTCATCGAAAATCAATCTGTAGTCCTGGGAGAATGTACATGACTGCGCATTTTAACGCGTATACTGTTGTTTTAGAATAAGACGTAATTTCACGACTTTTGACTACCATCGCGTTAGCCTCCGTGCATAATAGAACCATTTTTCGCGAAAATTGGTGAGTTCCTTAACTTACCCGTGGTGTCATTAGTGCCATGAGTGGGGCATTCTGACTCGTCCACACATCTGAAGTTGTGGTAGTAGGGTTTCTCTGGCG